AGTTCTGAGAGAACTTTTAAGTTGGTTTAAAGAGAGTAATAAGACTTTATTAGCAAGGAAGTATAAAAACTTCTTGCGAACGTTTTTTTTGTGTGTAGTTAGAGGATCAGTGGAAAGAGTGGTAATTTTATTTTAATAAAAAATTATTACTTTAAAACTTATATAAAAAATTGATCAACTTGTTTGAATAATAAGTTATATATATTTATTTTATTTATTAAATTTATATTTTCAAGTTTGCATAACAAAATTTGGGATAAATATGTTGTTTTGATGGATATATATATTAAAATTATTTTGTTTTTAGAAAGTTTTGATAGTCTTATAAGTTTTGGAGTAATTGAAGCAATTTGATTTATTGAGTAAACTTAGTTACTTTTAAAATTTCTTGCAATATTAAGAAAGATATTCTTGATATTTCCGGATAGTTTTGTTATGTATTTGGTAAAAGAATATATTGTTCTTTTTTGTGTATTTGGACTGATTCATTCTTTTCAAGAAAATTGACACAAAAGAAAATTTTTTGAAAAAAGGAAAATCAATAAAAAGAATTTTTTTTTTTTATATCTATTGCAATATATTTAATGTATTTATTATTAGTTATATTTTCTATTTACAGTATAAATATGCTTGATATAATTTTGTCACATTTATAACATTTATAGCATTTACTCATTAAAAAGGTTTGTGCTTATGTAATCGATTATTTTTTCCTATAACAATTGATATAAGTTGTATAGTAAAAGAAAAGTATTTTATATTATCTTATGAAAGAAATAACTATTAAACAAATAAACTATATTTAATTAATAACATATTTATTGATTATTTATTTTTTTAATATAAAAAAATTTCAAGTAATATATTGTTCAAATTATTAAAAGAAGACATTTATTTTCTAAAAATGCGGTCTTAATTGTGCTGCTTTAATGCATTTTTTTTGCATTATCATGAGGAATACAATGTTTAGATGTATCGTAACTTTAAACCCTTCTGCCTGACCGGAACTGGTCGTTACATAAAAGAAAACGCTGTATGTAAAAATTATAAGACCCAGGTTACGCGACAGAAAGGGGAATACAATTATTTTTGAAAAATCGAGAAAAGTATACTGTATACTACCTGAAACTTGACGTCTACACGACACAAAAATATAAATCACGTGAAATTCGACATTTGGAGAAGCATTAATATTACACATGCAGAATTTATCATTATTTCCCAACTTGGGATCATTCTAAGGGGGCGCCACTTAAAGAGAACAAATTTGCGTTTATGGTGAAAAGTAGGTCAGATCAACAGATAAGGAAATTCTTTAATATATATTTTAAAGAAAAAAAAATACATGAAGGAAAACCCAAGCGTAACCTTTCGTGTCGCAGCGAGGTGATCATGTGTTACTGGCAGACTTATTTTTTTATATGTAAATCCGATTAAACCTTTGTCACACATGGTACCGTTCAATTTGTGAAATCAACGAACTAAAAAAACGGAAATTTATAAACCTATCAAAATTTGAGTACCGTTTATCTATATGCAATTTAGCACTAATTGTAAACATTCTGCAAAACTCTATCTAAAAGAGTTTCGTTATCTTTAAGCATGCCGATCGGAAACTATGCGCGATACTTTTTACACAAAATTAATTAATTGTTTATTTCTTTTGTGGGAAAATTATATAATTTACGAATAATGTAATTTCGATAACATTGTTTGGATGACAAGGTGAAGGTTAAAATTCCATGAAGTAGAATATTATGTCGTTACACACATTTTCTATTGGGTAAAGTTAATTTTTGACACTTTACTTTGGATTCCTCGAGCTTGATTTCTTTGGGGTGCAGTTACATATAACCATAATACTCGTCTTATCAATATTTTACATGAAGTTGTGATTCATATAGTCGGAGTCAAGAAAGGAGTGTCTTAATTTTACACCCTTTATCTCGCAATTATTGTTATCTTTTGGTAATATACTAACTGTATTGATTGTTGTATCAATATCATACCATTTTGATGAATCTTCATTTCATAATAAATAAATTTATCATTGTAAGAACGATGTCGGGTCCTGTGCAATATAAATATTTTTAGCATACATGCGTATTTATTTGGGAAAACTCAAACGACATTTCGTGCATGAAACATATAAATACAATTATTGCTCACTATTGAAGTCAAAATTCAGATTTGTTAATGTTTTGAGGCAATTAAAATCCCTCCTTTTTAATAATTTTATTTACTTGCCTATTATTATTCCTTCCCATCTTTCATTTGGTAATTTCTTCTTTCTTGAATGCTTCGTGTGAATTGTTCTCCAAATAACTTATTGAAAATATTAATTCCTCTTTCAGCACTCCTAGTCGACTAAATCAATGTCATCATATCCCGGCGGATACCCTAGTGGCGATATTGCGTGGGTCCTAACATCATCTGCTCTCGTATGGCTTATGATCCCCGGAGTCGGTTATTTCTACAGTGGTATGGCTAGAAGCAAAAATGCTTTGTCGCTCATTATGCTTAGCGTGATTTCCATCGCTGTTGTATCTTTTCAGGTAGGTTAACGGCGTGTTTTTTTATTTTAATTTTAATTTTTTTTTTGTTTTACAATACCATTTATATTTTTTCTTAGTGGTGGTTATGGGGATTTAGTTTAACGTTTGGCCCAGCTCCGAGTAAGCTCATTGGTAATTTGGACTACATGTTTTTCCGAAATGTCGGCAACACTCCAATGAACGAAACTGAAACACAACCAATGTCATCATCCAGCAATTTGCCTGTTTCTGTATTCGCCATCTTTCAATGTATGTTCGCTGCCATCACTCCCGCCTTGGCCATCGGCTCTGCTGCAGAACGTGCACGTATAATCCCGACAACCGTCTTTATTTTTGTCTGGTCTACGATTGTGTATGACCCCATCGCCTGTTGGGCGTGGAATTACAATGGTTGGTCGAATTTACTGGGAGGTCTAGATTTCGCTGGAGGTACCCCCGTACATATCTCGTCCGGTGCTGCGGCTCTTGCTTTTTGTCTTGTCGTTGGAAGACGTCAGGGACACGGAACTGACGAATTTAAACCCCATAATGTTGCCAACACTGTAATTGGAACCGCTTTCCTCTGGTTTGGCTGGTTTGGCTTTAATGGAGGTTCTGAATTAGCAGCCAATAGCCGTGCTGCCACGACTTGTTTTGTGACCAACTTAGCTGCATCGGTTGGCGGTCTCACTTGGTGTCTATTTGACTACAGACTTGAAGGGAAATTATCAGTCTTAGGTTTCTGTTCTGGCGCCGTTGCTGGCCTCGTCGCCATTACCCCCGGTTCCGGTTATGTTGGCACACCAGCTGCTGTTGTGTTCGGAATGGTTGCCGGTGTCGTATGCAATTTGGCTGTAAAATTAAAGCACAGATTCAATTTCGACGATGCTTTAGATGTATTTGCTGTACACGGAATTGGTGGATTGTGTGGAAATATTCTTACCGGTATTTTCGCTCAGAAATCTATCATCGCTGCCGATGGCACAAATCTCCCTGGAGGCTGGATAGAAGGACATTGGCCCCAAGTCGCTTATCAACTTGCCGACTCTGTCGCCGGAATGGCGTATTCTTTCACTGCAACATACATTATCCTTTCTGTTATGAACTTAATTCCTGGGCTTACACTTCGTGCAGCTCCGGAAGCCGAAGCCATCGGTCTTGACGAGACGGAAATTGGCGAATTGGCATATTACCACGTTGACAGGCTTATTGCGGTGAACACCAAAACTGATGAAGAAAGGATTACGAAGGAGGAAACTGTTCGCCTACAAAAAGAGGTTTCGTAGAAGAAGAGGATGTTTCATTTTTCTAATACAAATAATTTAAATTTTCTGTTTATAAAATGGATAATATTGCATACATCCAAGACCATCTAACCTCAAAACCTGTCTCTGCAGTGAGATGGTTAAGTAAAAATGATAGTTATTTATACACTGGTATTTTTCTTAATTTCATATTGTAATTCTTCTATACTTCCAAGAAACTCGTTCATACTTCAAAGATTATTTATTTGTGCACGTTTATTAAAGTGTTTTGACGCTAAAATGATTTAAATTGACGATCGTTCGGAATTTTATTATGGTTATGATGATGTGTTATAAACGTGATAGGAAAAAATATGCTGTAGATTATTATTATTATTAGTTTAGTGTGATCAAAGAAAAAATTTTTAATTTCCAATCAACGAGACTTTTGCTTTCCTGAATTATCGTTAAAATCCAAAGTCGCTCTAAGCATTTGGTATATTGGATTTTAGCTGAGTATTTTTTTTAGAAATTTCGACTTTGGTTTTACTATAATACCATTGGTAGATTAAAATATTTTATAACTATGATTATGATTAAATAGAATTTTATTTACACAAACTTATATACGATTTAATTTGTATCATATGAGTGTAAGGGTTTAATTCAGATTGGAGGGTTTTTATATATACTGTATATTCAAAAATTTAGATATGTCGTATATTGTAAAACTTTTTTTTAATAATATATTTAAAGTTTTTTCAAATTAAGTTTTAAAAATAATATTGAATAGAATAAGAATATCCTTTAAATAATTTAATATCACTTGAAATTTCTTTTTATATATTGAAATTCATATAGATATATCAAAATTATTTGAAAAATTTTCATGTAATATAAATATAATATAATGTTAAAATTGCAATATAATTTTTTTCTTTTTTTCTTGTATAGATAATCCCTCCTTATTTATTATTAGCTTTAAATAATACAATTGTGAAATACAATAGTATTAAATATTTTTTTCAAAAAAACAATAGTAACATAAAACAATTTGATATTTATGAGATAAAAGTATTTATTTTATATGAGAAATCAAATACTATATAAACATTAATCTCTTTACTATATATTATAATTTAAAAAAATTAAAAAAAAAATGTGTGATATTATTTATGCAAAAAATTAATAAAAAAAAAATTATATCAAGCAAAATTTGTATTATCAATCTGTTTATCAAATAAATTTTTATAATATTAGTAATTAAATTAGTAAAAAAATTGAAAAAAAAAAATATAAAGATAAAAAAAGAGATCATATAAAGACACATTTGTATTACTGATTATAAAAATTCTTTTCTTATTGCTATTTCTATGCTTATAGTTATATATAAAGAAAACTTAATTGAATAGATTTATAATATCTTTATAATAACTAGTTATAGGTTATATTTTCAGATAAAACTTCTATTCAACTATTTAAACTAATAATTACTTAATAGTATAAGTATTACAAAGCTTGTCTAACATATTTCTAAAAATAAAAAAATTTTTATATAAATATATTTTTTAATATAATAAAAATATTATTTTTTGTTTTAAAAAACTCTTTCCACTAATTTCCAAATTTTCAAAAAATTTCCTTTTTTGGTAATTTTTTGAGAAAAAGAGAAACCAGCTAAAAAAAACTAAAGAAATCAAGAGAAACCACCTTTACAACTAAACAACTTACAAAAACAAGTTCAAAAACTCTTTATAGAATACAGAAGAGATAAATTTTACAAAAATTACTAACTTCTATTATATAAATTTTTTCTTTTAAAAAAAGAAAAACAACAAGAAAGACTGATTCACAGTAAGCTCTTGAAAACCCAATATCAACCTCACAAAGCTCCTAGCCAGGCCAGTGCAGGTTAACACCTTTCTAGATATCAAGAGAAGCTTTACAAGCAATAACTCAAACCAATAAATCAGTCTAAGTCCAAATACTCATAAAACTTAAAGAGACATCCAAGCTTCATTGACTATACAGTAAAGAAGTATATACATCACAACAACAGCATTTCAATAATATTATGTCATGCAAATACAGATACATATATTTTTTACAACAAGCTCAAAGACGTGTCAAATAAACAACGTTAATACACTTTCTATGTGTTTACGTAAATCAATTATCAACAACCCCATAATCCTACGTGTTTATATAAATTAATTATCAACAACCTATAATCCTACATGTTTATTATTGACTGATTAACAATATCAACAATACTATCACAATATACACGTGAAATAAATATTACCGACACATCACAACAAACAACAAGGTTTTTCTATATTACCAAAATAATAATAAGAAATAAACAAACCTACAACACATGTCTAGGAAAACATAGTAACGATTATCAGCAAAACACAACAATATCAAATACAGTCAACTTACTTCCTATCACATGAGCAACATGTCTATAAGGAAACACAAGCTTTTACAAGTCACTAAGAAAAGAGAAGTACACATTATAGAGACTTTAGCTCAATTATCAGACAAATATGATCAACAATGGAAACTATGGGCTATACAAACCCTTCTTAATATTACTTCAACTCAAGAAATCATCATGAACTCAACTTCAGGTTCAATCCAATACTTGATTATAGATAGCATCATTACTAGAATCCTGAATGTCGATCATATCATCTTTATTAAAGCCAACATTCTCAGACAACATATTCTTTATCTATGTATCAAAGGACAAGGAAAAAAAGAAGATCTTCTGGCTCCATTTTTAGAGGATAAATACTTGAACATAATAGAACAAGCTGAATAAGCATAATATTCTTTACAAAATATTATGTCAAGTCAGACAATATCTGAAAACAATCTTTCTATACATAGCTCACCAGATAAGGCAATTGCCATAGAAGTTCAAATAACCACAACAGTTGAGATCCCAAATATTATTGAAATTGAAATGGGAGATAAGGAGCTCGAAGATATAATTGAAATGGAAGTTATCAGTAAGAAGATTAAAGGGGACTATATAGCTGAGCAATATACATATAAGACAAGAAATAGACTAAAGACATCCATTATCAATCTCTTTCATATCAAGGCAGATGGTAAATATAAAATGGGTATATTTACTTCTAGGCTCCCAGAAAAAACTGAAACAGAGCAAATAGCATATTTGCAAAATACATTAGACTTGCCAAAAGATTTTCAACCCTTCAAAAAAATTTTATCAATGGCAATGCATAAACAACTTTTTGTTGTAAAGAAGAGGAAGATACATTTCAATGTCTTGAAAAGATTAACAAAAAAGAGGAAGAAAACTTTACAATTATATCTATAGATATAGAAAAATGGTCAAACTCTATTTAATCACCAAATAAAAAAGTTTTCCAGCAAATAAAAGATGAAAAAAAAACTACACTAGTGGTTACACTTATAGATATTGACCTAAACCACTCATGTCAAGAAATCAAATCTACTCTCAATAAATATGGACATATAACAAATATTCATATCTATAATCATTCATAATTACAACAATGAATCAAGGCACGTATTACCCTTTATAAGAAATATATCAGCCTTTAGGAAAAATAGATGATTCATACAAATACAGAAACTATCAGGACAATCTTCACTCAATATAAGTCTGATAATAATGAAATTAATAGAATTATCAAATAGCGTAATTCACAATCATTATGACTTTATGGAACATATAATACTACTACTGGTTTAATCACATGAGTAGTCAAACATATCAAAGCCAAATTATGTTACATTCCTAGAAATCCACATATACTAAAGAGAAGAGGCTATGCAGTAATTTGCTTCTTATCAGCACAAGATTTGAATAATGCTTTAAAACAGCATATATTTATTCATGGCCATAAACTCATCTGAAGTGCTAGAGAACATTTCAAAAAAAGACAAAGCCCTTCTCAAGAAAGACAAGATCAGCAAGAGTGCTAGGGAACGCTTTGAAAAAGAAATGAAACATGATGAAGAATTGACTTATACTGAAAGTAGTAAAGATAATGAAAAGAAAGTTCACATCAAAACAACACATAGCAAACTTTACTCAAGACAATTGAGTCAAACTGATATTAAAAGCAATATTAGAGTCAATTGATATACAATATTTGAGGATGAAGTAGAAATAAAAAGAGATTCTAAAAAAAGAATAGATCTAGAAAGAAGGGAAAAAAGAAAAAGACATAATTTTCAAGGCAACAAACATACTACTAGAATAATAGAAACTTCTCAACATTTTGTCATTGGTAGTAACAGGGAGCCAATAAAATCCTATTATAGAAGATGTTGGAATAATAGTTCTGAAAGTCATTATTCTGAAAGTGAAAGTGATCAAGATCCTTTTCACCAGATTCTAAACAATCTTAAACAACTAAATAATAGAATAAACATAATTGAAGAAAAAACAGGTAGTCTGAACAGGGTAAGAGGAAGGCGATAGAATAATCACTCCTGAAATTAGATCAGTCCAATCAACATATATCAGGAGTGAGTTTAATCCACAAGAAGAGTCAAGCTCATCCTGGAAAAAAGGTGCAATTCCAAAAGAAACTATAGACATCAATATCACCCTTCCCAATACAACACATGACACATTACTAGATAATTTTATCAATGCAATTAAAAAAAACACTAGTAATAGAATTAAAAAGGGGTATACATTATACAATAAGTATACTATAGAGAACTCCATATTAATGGATACTATTTTGATTGGAACACATAATGTTAGAGAAATTAATACTAGCCTGGATCAACAAAGAATGTACAAACTTATACAAGAACTCAATATAGATATTCTAGGCATCTGTGAAACTAAGCTAACAAATGAAATATTAGAATTTGCTTTCACTTCACAACAAACACATAAGTTTTTTCACAATAGCAATAATAAGAAACCCAGAGGATCTGAAGTAGGACTTCTCATTAATAGAAATATCGAGAAAAAGTTAGAATCCATTGAAAAAATAGAAGACTATATAATAGGAGCCAAC